GGCCACGAAAAAGCGATATCCCCTTTGCTTTTTGTCCCAAGAAAGATATCCAGCTTGACGTGGTGCCAGCTGGAGCACTATTGGGGCATAACTGTCATTTACTTATAGAAGAAAGTTATGAAAAATATATTTGTTAGTAGAAGCTTTCAATTACTCCCCCTCAGAAAATCATTGCAATGCATAGAAAGTTTTTCATGAAGATTTGCTTGCTAAAGCGACTTATTTTTTGGTCGTAGTATTCCGCAGGTTATGCGAAAAAAGTAAGAGAACTGTACTACTTACTTCTGCTCTCTATCACATATGTCGGAGGTTGCACCCTTGGGCACATGTGCAACCCATCGTTGATATACCATAAAAACGTCAGCGCAGCATGTGCTTCCATATGGTGAACATCATCGTAAGAGCGTGTCATTTCTGATGAGCATAAAGGCTTTAGAATGAGGGTTGGAATTGTGTCATGATATTTTGCAGCATTGGATGCAAACTTTGCACAATGCTGGTTATGCACCAGAAAGTCTGAAAAAGAAAACTATTGGGTAATACGGATAGCTATAAGTGGAATGTAATCGATTCTATCAAGTGGTTTATCGCTTTAACTTTCTTGTATGTTTGGTTATAAATCAATTTTGGTCATTTTCAACGGTCTGAATGGCGAACAAATGGACATGTGGTGGTACCATTAGGAAGAGTTGTATGACCGAGATAGCCTAATGCACCGCAAAAATTCTTTTTGTTTGTAAATTGTTACACAGTGCAAGGAAAATGGAATAATTGAATCATTATCAAATTTCAAAATTTAAATTTTACAAATGCTCTTTAAGATTGGGTAGTGTGGAGCTGTCACTTTATCGGAGACCTGGTACTGCATTTTTGGGAAAAACTCTAGTTTTATCGGCATCTTTCTTTTAGTTTTCTATCATATGGACGAACGAATGTTACATGGATTAGCGAAATTCAAGCAATCCTAGGGTTTGATAGTCTTCCGCTTTGATTTCCACTCTTCCTTCCACTAATCTATCTTGTTAATGAGCTGATCAATCTCTGAAAAATCTTGCCATTGCAGAGCTCTCTGTCGAGATTGCAATGAACGGGAGAAGGCGGCTGGTTCAGGTCGATATGTGTGCCATCGTTGTCATGCTATGATCGAAGAGGGTCAACATATAAAATTCCGTGGGGACTCCTTCCATCCCTATCATTTCAAATGCAAACGATGCAAGTAAGTGTGGGCAAACAGAAATTGAAAAGAATGTCGGAAAATACACTACAACGTTATATTTGCAGCTGTGAGTTAACAGTGCAGTCTCGGGAGGTAGGTGGTGAACTGTACTGTTTACGATGTCACGACACTATGGGTATACCCATATGTGGTGCTTGTCATCGGCCCGTTGAGGAAAGAGTTGTGACAGCACTAGGCAAACATTGGCACGTCGAGGTCGGTCTTTTCGGGACTTCTGAGATCTTTGCGCTCGGAAACTAAATTATGGTTTTTGCAGCACTTCGTCTGTTACGTGTGTGAGAAGCCATTCCTCGGTCATCGACATTATGAGCGGAAGGGACTGGCCTATTGTGAGCAACACTACCATAAGGTAATTTCTTACTTGCTCCACATTCTATCATTCAGCTCAGGTGCAGCTAAGATTAGAAGACATTTTCCAGCCAAGATTTATTTTTCTCTTCTGATCTAGTTTTTGAAGATTTTACCTAAAGTTTCCCGAAGTTGTATTGCATATGTGAGAGCCGGTTCTATCTCGTCAGGAGTAAACTGACCATTTCACCCCTCCAAAAAATTTCTATGACGCCTCACGGATTTCCCAAGTATGTAACCCCGACTTTCAGAAGATACATGGCAGCAGTAACTCTAATATTTTTGTAAAATCGGAGTATCGTGATTAGTCACAAACAAGAGCGCTTATCGCATAATTTTGCTTTTTAGTCGCATCTTGGTTGATGTCTATGAGGCTGTGATTGCAGAGAAAAATTGAGAGAATGAGATCATGCGATTTAA